AGTAATGTACACTTTGTTGAATGTTACCACAGAAAGTCATTACAGAACATGACAGTAATGTACACTTTGTTGAATGTTACCACAGAAAGTCATTACGAAACATGACGGTAATGTATCCTTTGTTGACTGTTACTATAGTTATTACAGAACATAATAGTAACATACACTTTGTTGAATGTTACCACAGCCATTATAGAACATTACAGTAATGTACACTTTGTTTGAATGTTAGCAGGTAATGCCACTGTTGAATATTTGCAAATATGTAAACTTTGTTAAAATTCACTTAGATTTGGTGAATTTTAACAAAGTTCACATTCAACAGTAATATTAATCTTGGTGAATTTTAACAAAGTTCACATTCAACAGTAATATTAATCTTGGTGAATTTTAACAGTTCACATTCAACAGTAATATTAAGATTAATATTACTGTTGAATGTGAAATTTGTTAAAAATTCACCAAGATTAATATTACTGTTGAATGTGAACTTTATAACCTTTTTCCATTAAGTCTATGCAGTTGTTTTTTTTTGTCAGAAGTGAATTAAGGTACACATACATTCACATGCTGCATATTTCTCTATTAATTACAGTATACTGTCACATTCTCAATACCCCAAAAAATGTCATTTCTCTTGGTTCAAAAAGAACCCTTAAATCAAAAATACAGATCTCAAAATGGAAAAAACAAGAACTGTACACAATAATTATATCTAATAATTTTAATATAAAAAATGTGTAAATTATTATAATTTATTATTTATATCACAAGTAACATCAAATATGCACAAAAATTAACCAATCTAAGCTGCCCACTGTTTGTTTAATGTAAAGAGTGATGAAAAAAGCTACTTGACAGAGTGCAACAACAGACAGAAAATTTGAAGTTAGGTTCAAAACCTTAAAAGTTAAAAACCAACATTCATCACTGGAAAAAGTCATATCAACAGTGAACAAAATGAGCATAAAATGCAAATATTATGGGATTCTTCTACTGTATAAAAATGAACTGCACCAGACTGAAGTCATGTGTTGATAGTTTACATTGTGAATGGCTGTTATCCAAACAATCAGACAGTGCCATTTACTATTCCCAGCAGTAGTGTGGTGAATGCATTCATGATAGACATGCTACATTTCAAATGTATAACAATTAAAAGTTAAACCACAATAAATTGAGTGAAATTCGTGTTTCAGTTGGAGTTGTATGGAAACTCAAAAAGGGTGTATGAATGCTGTGTATTAATGTTAATATAATTTTTACACATAAACAAATATAATATAACTAATATAACGTTGGTGTTGTTCTTTTAATCATATTAACCACACACACAGTTTTTAATAAAAATTTAGATCTACTGACTCCTTTTTTGCTTAATTTGATACTTTAACATCCAATTCAGTGGTGTTGAGTAGATAGCGCCATCTATCCACAAAATTGTGTACCACCTGATGGTGAGAAAAGTAAGGAAAAACATCATGGGGAGACCAATGCAATGTAAAAAAAAAGATTCAAATGGTACTGCAGTTAGTAAGTGATAAATGGAAAAATTAAAAATTGTTGTTTCTAAATGATTTGGTCCCTGGGAACCAAATAAAGTAAACAGCTAGTATGAATACTGCTATTACTCTTGATAATAGAAGCAGATTTAACCTTTCAAAAGGGATGTTAAGTAATTCAAGGTATGCTCCACATGATACACAACAATACAGTAGAGATCTTGCCAATGACTTAGCTGCAAGTACAAGTGTGAATGTTAACTCCAGAACAGTAAGTAGCCTAAATGGATGTGTAGCTATATTATAACCGCTGATTGAGATAACCAAACAAAAAAGGTGAAATGGACACAAGACAAACTGGATGACGAACGTTGGGAGAGGGTTCCCCTTTTACAGGTGAATTCAAATTGTCCGTCAACAATCAACAATAGCTTGTAGAATAGCAGAGGGGGGAATAGTATCATTGTTAATGTACAACATTTAAAATAAAGCATGGTGGGTAATACAGGTGTGGGCTGCATTTAAGCCACTGGCATTAGAGATCTAAACAAAAAATGATGGCACCCTGACTGTTGACAGGTACAAGCAAACATTCATCTCTCATGTAATTCTCTCAGGAAGAATGCATGCTGAACACAGATTCATCACCAAAGTACAGTAGATGTGTTGAAACAATACCTGGATCAGCAAGATGGCCCTATAGAATACTCACAACTATAGATGGGCCTGCACAAAGTTCCAATAAGAATATTAAGACTATATAGATTTATATGGAAACTTATAAGGTCAAACAGTAACCAAACAATTTAGCTGAACTATGGGGAGCTATACAATACATGTGAAACATTTCACACTCAAACATTGATAAATTTATGGTAGCATAAAAACACACAGCTTTGTTTAAAAAACAAAAGGTTTTTATATTATTTTCTGTGAATCACTTTACCTCTATTTACCATTTTCAAGTTACAGTATTTAATTTATAAATTTTGTTGTTATAATATTTTATATTTTTGAAAGAGTACTTATATTCTCCTATTTTGTTGATTACGGACATTGACCCTCAAGAAGTCAAGCCCTCTCAATAAACACCGTCCGTAAATATCATACCTTACCGTTAAATTTACCCAATCAAAGTTCAATGTACCCTTGTACTGTATTATTATTATTATATATATTTGTAGTTTCAATGCATTCATTGTAGTTGATGTATCTGATGATCTGATTTATCAAGTTTACTTTTAAAATACTAGTGCATTATACAACTTATTTGCTTTTGTTTTGTATTTTATGTTTTTGTATACAGCACTCATTACCAACTTCTGGAAAACTAAACAGGAATTTAACATCACTCGTATAATGCACTCAAGGTGTGAGCCACAACTTTGTACTAACAGAATACAAACCATGAACTTTAGGATGCACAGTTTACCATGTTTACCACTGGGTCATATCTATAGTAATGTATTGTATAATGATAAATTAACCATTTAGTTTAATTACTCTCTCTGGCTCCTATATGTGGATTACCCATGCATTTCCAATCCTGTACATCATACTTTTATTGGGATTACAGCTTCAGATCTTCTCCACTATCCATTCTAACAAAAATCTAACTTTTAATATAATCACAATTAGATACTTACGCAGCTGAGTATTCAAACAGACCATAGTACGGATTGAACATCTCCCGAGACAGCAGAAAGAACATCTCACGAGATGCACCTCCATAATCCAACACTTCTTCACCATCAAATTCGATCCACAGCTTAGTTTTTAACAGGTCTATACGGGAAACACTGGATACAATTCGGTAAGCATCTTCCAAAATACTGCTTCGAGAAACTTTAATCTCAAACTTGTTTGGAACATTGCTCTATCAAAAAGACAAGATGAGTGTCAATATTCAGACTGGTAGCTAACATTTTCAATAATAAATCTATTTAAACCAGCAACATAAGGTAATTCAGCAACAGACAAACTAAAAATAAAATACAAGAAACTCCCATGCTAAAAGTCTTCTCAAAACAAACTAATCTAATATTGTGTCTTCCAATAATTATCTAACAAAGAAGATTTGTTACACTTTCTTATGCTTATTTGAATTAAGTACAGTGTAACCCCGTTATAATGCGATCGTTGAGGTCCATAAAATGTCATCGCAAAACAAGCAGGGTCACACTAAATCGGAGTTTTGTAAAGATACACTTAAAATATGAAAGTTATTAGTATGTAAACTAACGAGGTTATGGTTATGAGGTCGGTCCCAGGGACCAAGTCCGTGTCAAAATAATTAATGACCCATCGCGTTATATCCAAATTCATGTTAAATCGGGGTTTCACTGTACTTAGCTTGAACTTTAGTAAAGCACAGTTTAAACATGGTGCAGAATATATATCTATAAAAAGTATGCTGTTTTATTCAACTAGTAATGCATCTAAGAATTCCACATTCTTGTTTTTATTACAAATGACCTCAGAGGTGCCACTGACATTATCTAATTCCAGTAACTGTACATTTTCATAGCTAGTAAATAGAAAATTCTTATTATATCTTAACTATTCTGAGCAGTGTATTTCACATCCACTCTTAATGCAGTGTGATAACGTTAAAATTCTAAGGCAAGTTTAAATAACTGTTACATCTGTATATTTTATTTTGCTTCTCAACTTCAATAAGTATACTACTACTTAAGTAGATCTTTGCACATTCACCAGTTTTAATGTTAAACATTTCTTGTGTATATACAGAGTCAACAACGTTTAGTAATCTTCATAAATTATGATGTAGCACCATAAAATATAGATTTTTTACACTTCTAGCAAAAAAACAGTGAACAAAGAGATAGCTAAAAGGTTTCCCTAAGCCACAGAAGCATGTGAACTTCTGAATAATTAGAAAAAAATGAACTTTATTATCTTGTCTTTGGAGTACAAGTAGCAACAAAGCCCAACTGGTTTAAGCCAAAATTACATTTCCTGAGGATGTCAATCAAAAATTCCTACTTAACATGAAATAAGTTTAAATGTTAGTTCACAAGATTGTTTATCGCACGTGCATAATGTGCTTATAGTTATTTAAATGTTGAGAAACCAACCATAAGTTGTACATTTACTTAGTTCAGATCATAACAGTTCTTGTTCACGAAACTAATCATATAAATACCACTACATCTGTCATCTCCCAGCCACCTGATTAGCCCTGGTATTGGATGAAAAGCCTCAATGGTACTAGACATAACAGAAGAAGTGTGATTTCACGTATTATTACATATCTTCTTTGCTTTCACTCACAAGTGCTTGAATCTCACTGTAAATTGCAATATAATTTAAAAATCTTTCAATACAGTAAGCTCCATTTAAATTTTATAGTTTCACTGACAAGTCAGAACTACCCTGAGTCACATGTTTACCTCTCTCTCACAATAACTGCTACATTAATGATCATATCTACCACTGCAGCAAGTTGTGTATTTGCAGCCAAATGTTTTCAGGTTTTAACTTTTTCATAGTTCACATAATTAGTGAGAACAGTGTGAAATAATGCAATAACAGATGTGAACAATTGGTGAGAACGGCATAAGTATGCAACAACACGTGTGAACTTTCCATACTTCACATTACAACTGATAACAGCATAAGTATGCAACAACGGGTGTGAACTTTCCATACTTCACATTATTACTGAGAACAGCATAAGTATGCAACAACAGGTGTGAACTTTCCATACTTCACATTATTACTTATAACGGTGCAAGAATGCAACAACAGATGCAAACGTTTCATACTTCACATTATTACTGATAACGGTGCAAGAATGCAACAACAGGTGTGAACTTTCCATACTTCACATTATTACTGAGAACAGCATAAGTATG